ATCACAAGTTTTTGGTTACTTTATTGGTTTCTATTTTTCCTGCGTTTCTTTATTTAAATGGCTGAAGAAAATGTGACCAACCCTGTACTGTGTGGCTCTGGAGTCTAATGGTGAGAGCAGTTAACAGTCCTGACTATCTCAGACACTGGGCTCACACTAGTTAACACGAGCCTAGTGTCCACATCAGTGTGTCTTTTGCTCCAGAAAGGGTCCTACCTAGAGAGTGTTTTATCTGCCTAACTCATTTCCCTTGCGACAAGGCAGAGGGAGAGCACAGAGGGGACTCAAAGTCAAGCAATGAAAAACAATGGGGCCAGAGGCTGTCAGTCCTCACATTTCTCTGTGAGGGCACTGACTGGTCTTGGAACAGAGAGACGGGTTCTCTTTGGCCCTGGTTTCCTTGTTCAGGAAAAGTAGAGTTTCCCCAGGTCTCTGTCCATCTTCTGACTATGGATCTGCTCCTGCAGCCAGCCCGGGTTCACGGTGAGTTCTACCTGGAATGCACCTTCAGGTGTCCCCCCCCCCCCCGCCACCTCAGTAAGGGTTCCCTTACTTTTCCTGACTTTTACTACTTCAGACAGTGCTAAGGTCCTCACAGCTCTAAACCTGCTTTTGCTTCTGCCAAGGTTACTCTCTAGAGACATATAAACTATTTCTCAGTCCATTTATTTAAGAGTCTGCTCAGGTGAGCCTTACGAAATTATTTTCCCTAGCCACCATTTTCAAAATAGCATGGCCCCCTCATCTCTCTTTGATAGGTTTCTCTTCACAGCTCTTCCCACGTGACTCTGTACCAGATGTTTCACCTACCGGAATCAGCGTCCACTCAGGCAGGCACATGGTCTTTCTTTTCACAACACATGAGCACTTAATCGTCATGGAAGAGAAACACTATGGCTGTGAACAAGTAAGGGGACGACATGGTGTGGACTCTGCTCCAGTGTTACTGTCACCAGCACTGAACTGCTTCTTGCACTGTCCTGTAAGAAGGTCCTCGTGGAAGTTCCAAACGGAACAGAAATACATCAGGTGCAGCAGATGGCTGGGAGAGTCACACGCAGTCAGGCACAGAAGCCAGAGCACGGCAGGCATCAGAGAGGTTCTATTCTAAACACCACCACTGTGCATCCTTGAGAATTCCCCTAACTTCTGCAAACTGGATAACAACCCTCCTCAGGGTACATAACAAGGATCAAGGAAACTTATTTATGAAGCATCCTGTCAGGTACAATGCATCATATCCTACAGGTAAAGTATGGTTTCTAGTCAGAAGAAGGCTTCAACAGTTCATTTGCAAACAGCCTTAAAGATAAAGTGTCATAAGCATGAATACACACACACACACACACACACACACACACACACACACTTATTCACACACACATATGGAAAGTACACCCACAAAAGAAACAAGCTAAAAATAAGCCCAACTTACTAAACACCTAAAATCTGCCATATATCCCAGACTTTATTGTGGACTCCCTTAAACAAGGCTTCAGACAAATGTGATGAACAACATGACAGTCAATGTCTTGTAGTATACTTTGGGTCCTCAGGATGCCTTATCATCTTGGCTCTGCCTACCAATCTGTTCTAAGTTACTGCTCTGATCATGTCTCTAAAATAAGTCTCCAAGCAGGTGAGCATTTCCTGTTGCATTTGGTGGGTAAGACAACCAAGAACTAGGCAGGTGTGGTTTCACACACCCATAACCCCAGTACTTAGGAGGCAGAGGCACGAGTTCTAGGTCATCTAGGCCTGCATATCAAGATAAGAGGAGGTGGCTGTTGAGGGAGGAAGGCTAAGAACTAGCTTTACCTGAGTAGTACATACTGCTATTCAGCTCACATCTGAACACAAATGAGACTTTCTGACAGCCACACACATTGGTTCTAGATCCTACACCACCTCAGATTCATACCAGATACCTTTCCTGTGTGGTAAATCCTAAGCTAGATTTCTTACATGTTTCAAGAGACATTGACACAGAACTCTTTTAACAGAGGAAAGATGCTCAGAAAAAAAAATGATATAGTGACTTGTCTCAAAGATACATGGGAATGTAAGAACTCAAAGTTAGGATGATGTCCTAAGCTTCAAATTTAATTCACACCACAACACCATTACTTGCACCATCCATGTTCGTCTTTTATTTATAGCTGACTGTGCATGGAACAATCTACCCTTAACCCTAACAAAAAGACAGGATTAACCTACTTCCATCCCAAGAATCCTCCCCACGCTGCTCCCCGAGAACCTATACCAGTGTATAGTTCTGCTGTGAGTGGGTCTGCTCCCCAGAAGGAGTACATGCTCTTCAAAGGTAAGGACATCACTGAGTCCATCCTCTTCTCTCTTGCTATCTGAGTCCAACACAATGAGACATGTAACGCTTAACTATATGACAATATCGGAACAAGAATAGCTGGAAAGCAGAGGGTTGTACAGAAAACAGCATGCCCAGTGTCTATACTCCAACAAATGTTTCATGAGAGCTGTATTAATTAATAGTAAAAGTGAAACTAAACAAACACGAAATGCAAAACACAAAGGTCTAACTGCAAAGCAGTGGGTTTCACCTTTACACTCAACTTTATCATCACAATTTGAAAATCTTGAGGTGAAATGATGCTCATCAAAATCAGTGTTCTAATATATGTGCTCTGATCTGTATTTGACAGAGTCATTAGAAAAATAAAACAGAAAAAAGAATGTACTGCCCTGACTAAGACAGGAGAGGAGAGAAAAACAGATCGAGTCCTCCTGTAGATGGTAAGGTGACTGTTCATCTTACAAGTAAACATGCTTAGCCATATTAGAACATTCAAATTTCATGCACACTACTGAACCTTGATTTATGTGTTTCTTTGTTTCTGTTTTTTTGTTTTGTTTTGTTTTGTTTGTTTGTTTGTTTGGTTTTTCCTTGTTATAGAGACAGAGTTTCTCTGTATAGGACCAGCTGTCCTGGAACTGGCTCTATAGACCAGGCTGATCTCGAACTCAGAGATTTGTCTGCCTCTGCCTCCTGAGTCCTGGACTTAAAGTGCTACTGAACTTTGGAACACACAGAAATTATGTCATGACCTCTATACAAATTGTCATCATTTTGGAATGAAGATATACCTCCTTTGACTAATAGCTCCTAATAGCTACAAGGTGTTTGTCAACACCTCGTGGAAATCACATCTTTGCTAAGTCCTTAGAGTACACAAGCATGTTAATCCTTACAGCTGTCTCAAGTACACACTGGCCTTGAGACTGGCACCATCTGTCCTGTCCTGAGCACCCATCATCTTTGTTCTAAATCTGCTTCAGAGCCTGCTAGAAGGAAGCAGACCTTTATAGACCAGGCCTTCAGAAAGAACTTAAATGTCAACAGTGTGACTTTAGGCAAGTTTTTTTTTAATGTCCTGAACTTCTTTTCACATTAACAAAACTGGGATAATTTAAGCTTTCTACAGCTATTAAGAAAGTTGGACTATAGTTCATGTAAGTGACCAGTACATAATAAGGATTCAGGAAATGTTCGTTTCTCATCCCATTTTTTTTCAAAGCCACAGAATAGTTATTTAACACCATTAGTCAAAGCAACAGCAATTTCTACTCTGCCACCATGTTTAGGCTTGCCAGTAGCCAGGCCACAGCTCATTAAAACATCTATTCATATACAGCTCTTTAAAAGATTGCTCTTTAAAAAAAGTTTCATAGGTTGCCAAAATTCTGTCTCAGCTTCAAGAATTTATGAGTAGTATTTCACAATCTTCTGTTCAAGTTTCCATTGATACATGGTCTGATGCTCGAAGAAAGCATAGCCAACATATTTATTCTGAAGCCGAGGTTCAAGAAACAGAATTCTGGGACAGATATTATTGGCAGAATTTTGCATTTCCATTTGGTTTGCAAAATTTTGTGATTTCTAACAATATAATAACAGTTTTTCTATACATATGTGCATATTCTACAGAAAAACTCTCTAGGATTGATTTTGTTATTCTATTTGGGGTTTATTTAAGCACATTTTGCATAAAATTGGTAAACTATTATATGAGTTGCTCTTTATCTGGTCATGGCACCATGCAATATCAAGTACCTCCTAATGGCGATGGGAAACCAAGGTAGGATTTAAGCAAGAAAAATTCCTGTCAAAGAAACAGAACTCTTGACTCTCAAAGAAATTTAATACTTCAGAACATTTTATTTTTCAGGGACAGTTTGCATTCATTCCTATTTTACAGATTAATGAAAATGTAAACATTCCTCCCTCCAAGTCTCAGGAAATAGCATGAAGGAGGGGTAGATAAAATCTAAGAGCTAGAGGGTGGGGAGGAATGCTGTGAAGCTCTTCTAGACATATGGCCATTGTGACAATCAGCACAGCAGCTGTGGCTACCTATTCCAATCTGCACATAAGCAGGCCCTTCAACAGTCCATCATGAATGAGGGAGGAGTTGACAAAGTCTCACCTCTTCCTGAGAACCCGTAGTTAAGAGCTACAGGAAGGAAGGCATTTTCTTCAGAAGTGTAGCCATAGAGTAATTACCCAATAAATAACCCCTAACCCATGTTCCTACAAGAACACCTAATTATTCTCAATGGAACATGAACAAATACACACACACACACACACACACACACACACACACACAAGCAGGGGTTCAAAAGAAGGGGTTAGGCAGGTATGGGAGAGGGAATAATAGAGGATAATGGAAAGGTGTATATGATCAAAACATGTTATACATGTACAAAATCAATTAATCAACAATGTTTTTCATGCAAACTTTTCTTTCTCTGTCCTGGCACAGAGACCTATTCTGAGCCATCTTAATATTTAAAATGTTTATGCCAAGAAGGCAGGCTAGCATGATATCAGTACACTAGAGATCTACAGGGTAAATTCTCAGTTTGTGGTCACTTAATAAGCACATCTCTTTCTAACAACCCAAAAGTTTATCTTTTGATCATAAACCGTAAATAAATAGCCCGTAATTACAAAGTCCTACCTTTTGTACATCTCCTGTGAAATAGGCAATGGCCAGGGTGGGAAGGATCATGAACAGCGCATTGTAATAGAGCAGACCGTACTTCCCCAGCTCCTAGGTAGTAAACAGTCAGTTATTCAGTTGGTTCCAGCAGTTAGGTATCTTTACACACATAGACTACTAATCCAGTTACACATGTATATTATGTTGGATGGTTTTTAAAGTTAAAAAGCATCTTAATTTGAATAATCACATTCAAGCCTGACCCAGGTCTTACTGTCATAGGACTCAAGCTGGCTGGCCCATGATTACAAGCAGTCTCGAAGTTATAGTTCTGATTTACTAAAACCCATGTGACTATACTGACCCTAGGTTAAACCAAATAATGGACAAGTCACTGAAAAGCTGTGCCTCTTTGTGTAGTACCAAGAAAAGTTCAACAGTGAGACTATACAGCCTTCCACAACAGGAGCCCATGACCCAGAACGTGAACTAGCCTGGATCAGAGGGTGTCCAGGATGCACAAATACAGGTGCACCAACAATATACCTGACAAGTGACAAGATACAAATACCCACTCCCTCATGGCTCCCTTCACATTCTGACGATTCTGAATGTCATTCTCCCTTAAGACACTGCAAGTGTATCAGATGCCACTCCACTGTACAGGACAGCCTTGAACTCACAATTGTCTTAGATCAGCCTTCCAAGTGCTGGGGTTACAAAGCTGCTAACACAGTCAGACTCCATAAGGGTTTTTTGTTTTTTGAGACAGAGTCTCATAAATCTCATATATCTGTTGTGGGATATTTTGATCACATTCCTGAGACTGCCATTAAAGTTTAGTTTGAATCAGAAGGTGGAACTAGCTACTCGCTGACCAAAATTAGCCAAAGAGGTTTCTCAGAGGACCTAGAGACACAGGAAGTGGTAGGTTGGGGCTTAGAAAGATCCTAGACTCTTTTAGATAGTGGAAGGAGAGAGGGAGGAAGTCAATGATCGCTTCACCACTTCTCGGAACATTCAGGTTCTTACCCCTATATCTAACTGCTAAATTTTTATTGATAAAGAATAATTAGATAAAAACTTCAACTGGAGTCCAACGCAGGGCATGAGATCATGAGGCAGCAGCTCGCCACCAGTTTTGCTGGCAGAGTGACTACAGCTGGCTGTCCCTCCCTTTCCCTCAGGCCCTGTGTGCGAGTCTGAGGTCTACCTGTTGTAGCCACTCTATAGTAGCCTCCAGCTGCCACCCGTTCCTGGCCCGAAACACCACCGGAGTTAGTCACCCACTGCCGCCAGTCTCTGTCATTCAGGATTCTTCTGCATGTCCCCTTGTATCCGCTTTTCAGGTAGCTCACCTCCACCCCCTGTAGGTTGCAGGCTTCTCCTGAACCCCTTCCTTAGATCACTGCCACACCAGGTTGACAGCCTTGAAACCCACTCAAGATTTTACTGCTGCTGCCACCGCCACACAGTCTCAGCCCACAGCTACCTACACACGAGCAGCGGAAGCTGCCCTTGGTCAGGCATTACACCACCTGTGTTCTCTGCCCAGCTGTGCGGTACAGTGACTACCAGTCTCACGCTTTCCTCTTCTTGTCAGCAAATGAAACGTCTGAGAACTTTTGAGGGGGAAATGAGTTTGGATTTTTTGTTTGTTTGTTTTTTGTTTTTTGTTAAGAGTTTTTACCCATATTAAGAATAGAGCTGGGCAGGGGAGGGGCACACCTTTAATCCCAGCACTTGGGAAGAAAGGCAGGCAGATCTCTGTGAGTTCAAGTCCAGTCTGGTTTACAGAGCGAGTTCTAGGACAGTTAGGGCTGTTACACAGAGAAGCCCTGTCTTGAAAAATCAAAATAAATGAATAAATAAATATGGGGAGCAAAATTATGATGCAGTGAGTTAGGTCTCTGTATGGTTCCACAATGAATGGTTTAAAAATGGAAAAATGAGGGAAAAAATCAATGTAGCTGGGATTGACACAATGGCAGTTATAACCATTATCAGTCTGGTAATTCATGTTTTATGCTTTAAAAAATTGACTATTAAGATGCAATCACTATAAAGACCTACTAATGAAACTAAGAAAGATATTCACATGACAGAGGAATTTAGAGAAGAACCTACCTCACCACTGCATTATAAAACTGAAGAGTAGCCACCCAAGGTTATCAGAAAATAAGTTTAATTTACCTGGTTACCATTCAAGAATAATCATCACCCCAAGGCTATTCAGAAGTTAACTGGGATCATGTACAAATGTTAGATTTAAAGAGATTTAAGGAAGCAATGGTTTCGTATGGTATACATTCACTTTTTTGGGAAGCAGATATTAAATTCCTGGGCAACTTAGAACAGAGTTATTCCATAAAACTGGAAAAATTTAGCTACAGCAATATAGGAAGCTGGTCCTCAGTTACAATGGAAAACATGGTGGAGAGATGAACCTAGAATCCTAGTACAAAGAAGTAGGGCTACAGGTATTGAGCTTTCCCAAGACCAGTTTCTCAGTGAGTGCTAGCATGCTGATTTGCAAAGACGTATTACATTTGATGATCACACCTTGGTTCTATGCCATATAAGAGCTTTAAATACTTAGGACAGGGTTGAAGAATCAGGAAAGAGTACTGAGTCATTTACTAAAATTATACAAGGCTCCAAAGAAGCCTTCACTGATTTTTTTACAGTTGACTTCAGCTATAAGTAGACTATAAGATCCAGAAGTTAGACGAATAGTAATTGAATCTTTGCCTTTTGAAAATGCTAACTCAGAATACAAAAGGGTGATTAGGACATTAAAGGCAAGATCAGCACCAATAGATTAAAAATATAACTGATATTGGATCTCACACTTATGATGATACTTGGAAAGGAGAAATGATTTCTAAAAATTTTAAGGTCAAAATGTTAGATGTTTTAATTGTGGTAAACCAGATCATCTGAAAAGGGATTATAGGCAAGGCATTCCTAGAACCAATTTTTTTTCTAGAGATAATCCAAACACAAGGCTCCAGCTGTCTAGAATATGCAGAAGGTGTGGCAAAGGGTGGCACTGGACTAATGAATGCAGATCACCATGGAACAGGCGAGGTAACCCTTTACCACTGGGAAGAACTTAGGGGTACTCTTGCAGGCCCTGATGTAGAATTTTGTATTCAGAGTTAGCAGGTGGGACATTTGTTTCTGCTTGCCATCTGAGCTCCAAAAAGTACTTGAAGTAATTCTCAGAAATACTATACACAGAAGAGAGCAGACAAGGAGGCAAGTGGATGAGACTGTCTTACTAAGATAAAATATAAGCAGGAACACACATAGATTGCAAGATTCGGTTATGAGATGAACACGTATCAGCTGCTCGGAAAAACAAGGGTGACATCTGAGAGGCATATCAATGGGAGTCCTCATAAGGCCCACTAGGAAATGAAGGACAACTCTATGACAAAGAAAGCCGAAATCCAGATAGCTGTTTTCTTACAGTAACTTAACCCTACAATGTAGCATACAAAACAGGGTTCTAATACTTGCCTTTCTGGGGGTGATATAGAACCACAGCTGGATGTGTCTGTATATAAAGTAGACAGTGACCAAACAGGCAGTACTGTGCAAAGCCCCTGTGTGCACACTACCAATGTAAGACAGAAAGTGGAGAGTACACACCTGAGGTATGGGCCAGGAATGCAGTGCTCTCTGAGAGCAAGCCCAGGTCTCCCTAGCGTTCAAAGGCATCCTTGTTCCCTAACCTTTCCCAGCACTCCCTTCCTCCATAGGTGCTCACACTCCCCTCTATTTCTCTTGGGTCCCTCACCAAGTCTTCTAAAATACAACCACAATCATGAATATATTTTTCTCTGTGGAATTTCTTATTTCTCCTATCTCATTCTAAGTTGATATTCTCATACACTTCCTTCTAGAAAAGCCAGCATTACAACCTAATTTAATTTAAAGAGATTTCATCATCATTTTTTTTTTCTTTTAGAGATAGTGTTTCACTCTGTAGCCTAGGCTGGTGTCATTCTGCAGCCTAGGCAGGCTTTGAACATGGGGCTATCCACCTGCCTCAGTTTCCTGAATGCTGAGATTCCAGGCATGTGCCACAGTGCCTGGCAAACACAAATTTATTATATTAGGATGAACATATACCTTATTATATTATCATGAACACATTTACCTTCAGAGAGCTCCTGTGCCCTTCCCCAGCCCTCCTAAGTATGTTTCTTTAATCCATACTTTTCCCACCACCAGCGAACATCCAATGAAGAAGCTGTAGAGTACTACTCACTTTCGAATCTAACTTCTGTTTCACATATGCACCATTTGCTGCTGTCAGGACATCATTGATCAAAATGAAAACATATCCTTCCAGATCAAACGCCAAGTCAGAGCTGCAGAACATATGCAACACTTTAAGATCACCTTTAAAAATATGCAGTGCATTTCAAACAGGTCTGGGCTACAGTGCTCGCAGGAACACATTCTTGTGTAGGCAGACCTTATGCTTTTTATCAGCTACCAGCATTTCCTAAGACCTGGCCCCATTTGGCAGTTTTATGAGAAACATCCATGCTTACACAGGTCACCACAAAGAGCCAATCACAGAGCCAGCCGTGGTGGCACACATCTGTCAAAACAGCACTTAGGAGGCTGAAGCAGAAGTAAAACAAGCTAAGGTCAGTGTGGGTTATAACTCGAGATCCAGGACAACCTGAACGGCACATTTAAGACCCTGCCTCAACACAAACTTCACATGCACAAGTACTAATCATTTTGGTTCACTGTAAACTGCTCTAAGGTCAGACAAGAAGCAACCAAACATCATGACCTAATCTATAAAAGCAGAAAGCATTGGTTTCAAAGACAGGACGTCAAAGGACGGGGCTGTGAACGGGTCGTGGTTTTTTTCTTTTTTTCTCATAGATTCCCATAAAAGACAGGACTAGCTTGTCACGGGGTGGAATTTCTGGAACATGGATAATAGTTCTGATATCAAACCACAAGAGTGGATAAGCAAGTACTAAGAACTGAAGTGCTTAAATAATTGCTCAGTGAAGTGACAGGATGCCAATGGTGAGATCAAGGGAACAAAGCTCCTACACCTTAGTAGAGTGCTTACCACAAGAACTCAGTAAATATAAACCATAAACGGAAATCTGGCAGTATACCTGCAGTGGATTCTAATGCCCTCTATGGCTCTGTCAAGACACTACATACTTGTGGCCTAACTAGTAAAGGAGCCCTCAAGGCCACGGCAACATCAGGGCAAAGGGCGATGCAAGGAGGTCCGAATGTTTAGTACAATTTTGTTCTCACTGGCGTCGGGGAAATACTTTTGAGTACACAGAGCTTACAGCTCCTCTAAGAAGATAGGTAGGTGGTTATTATTGAACTTTTCTCACAGGAGGCAAGGCAACACAGAGGGAAAAGGAGCTAGCTCTAAATTCCAGTAATCGATATCTTTTTTTTTTTTTCCTAAGAATGGAATTTCAGGGGACAACAAGATGGCTCATCTGGTACAGGTACTTGTCACCAACCCTGATAATCTGAGTCCTATCCCCAAAACCCACATGGTGAAAGGAAAGAACCAAGTGCCACAAGCTGTCCTCTGACCTCCGCACGTGCACCCTGTGGCATCTGTTCACACACACAAAATAAATAAAACGCGATCAATTTTTATTTTAAAAAAAGAGTGAGATTTTGCTTGGAGAGTGAATGCAGCATAGAACCTGATGTCTACATCCCCTACACACACTTACCCCCCGACCCAGGCACATGCTGGACGTGTAGCTAAGAGCTGAAGAACAGAGGGCTCCAAAGGAAAGCAAGTTTGTAGTATTAGCAAATCTCCCTACACACCCCTAAGCTGAGCACCTAGGCACCTTCAGTTTTCAGTCTTTCAGTGCACATCTATTTTTTTCCATGCCTACATGCCTTCCCTCCTGCCTGCCTGCATATGTATATAATATGTAACCATCAAATTGAGCTCTTTCATATTTTTCTCACCTTAGAAGTGTATCTTTTCCTTGTGTCTTCCTTTGTTTATTTTAAAACGAAAACTTTTTTAAATCTGTGGAAAGCTTCAGCAGTATGATACGGTGTCCACGTCATGACATGTATAATATGTCTTTGGAAAGACCACATGAAGCAACGCTTCTATTCCTTTTCCACAAAGGAAAAAGATTCATTGCCCTTCGCCTCATCTGACAGAAGGGTAGATATTCAAAGGGAAAGGGCTAACATGGTCTAAAATCACAGACTGATTTAGACAGACATGGTTTCTGGCCCTGCTGCTTACTAGCTATAATCCTTGAGAGTTACAGAAGAGATCCTTCAGCTACAAAACAGGAAAATCAGAGCCCTCAGAACAGAAAAGAATACATAACTGTGTGTCAATATACTGTGTGGCGTGTGTATGTGCTCAGCAAGCAGAAGACAACATCCAACCCTAAATTATATAAATTGACTTTAGAAATCCCCCAAATCGCCATTTCTCTAGCTTTAATCTAACACAGCACAAAAAATTTAACAGTGGGGCTGGAGAGATGGCTCAGAGGTTAACAGCATTGCCTGCTCTTTCAAAGGTACTGAGTTCAATTCCCAGCAATCTCATGGTGGCTCACAACCATCTGTAATGGGGTTTGGTGCCCTCTTCTGGCCTGCAGGCATCATACACACAGACAGAATATTGCATACATAATAAATAAATAAATAAATAAATAATTTAACAGCGGAAGGCTTTTGAGTAGCTTTCAAAGATGCTTAAGATATAATATTAGTAACTATCAATAATTAAAACATAGGCTCTAAAGGCCCACCTCTTACCTGGCAGCTACAAAGGCTCCGATAATCATTGCAAATACAGTCATCTTAACACCCCAAGAGAAAGTCTTCCTACAAAACAATTTAAAATATACAGACATGTGACTTTATCCATGTAGACTCATTTTACATCAGTGACAAAACAGACAAATACAAAAAGACAAATACAATCACATTCACATTCTGAATATTTCCAAGAAACTAGGTATTTAAAAGATGGGAGAAAACTCCTTTTGTTATAGAAAAAAACTATACCCAGTTCTCTCGTATTCTTACCATTTGCTTATTATCACTGAGTTGGGATTTTTATGTCAAAGTTTCTTTAAGTAGAAAGAAGTCACACACATTTGCAGTAAAAGTAGCTAAGACAGGAACATTACTTAAAACCTAGACCTAGGATTCAAACTTGGTTTTACCCAATGGCAGCAACAGACACAAGAATTCTAGACAGCATATCCCATGTTTGGGAGTTTTCTAACTGCGGTCTGTTACCTTTCCAACTACATTAATTTGATAGCAAGGTAATGAGACTGTTTAAGTTTTCAATACTTATAGTAGCCAGATGGTGGTACACGACTTTAATTCCAGCACTCAGGGGGCAGAGTCAGGCAAATCTTTGTGAGTTTGAGGAATATATATGGCTGGAGATACGGCTCAGGAGTTAAAATTCCTAGCACCCACATCAGGCTGCTCACAAATGCCTATAACTTCAGCTATGGGGAACTCAACACTTCCACCTGGCCTCCGACAACCACACACAGGCGTACATCCACACAAACACACACAGGCGTACATCCATACAAACACACACAGGCGTACATCCACACAAACACACACACACGGAAATAACGGTATCAGTCTTAGGAACAAGGACAAAGTAATACAAATACAGCTTACTTGAGCAGAGCTCCCTCAGCAAACATTGTAAACAGAATGGAGAACCGTCTCAGAACTGTAAACATGGGCAAGCTGCAGAAGAAAAGCAAGCAGGTAAAATAAGGCTTACAAGAGTGCAACTGTAAACCACAATTCTACGAATCAGTAGTTCTAAGTGACGCTGATCTTTCTGACTGTACGCAAGCTCCCTGCTGATTGACCTTTTTTGCCTGGAGAAGTATTCTTTTATTTAAAAGCCTTTAAAACATTAACTACAAAATGGTAAAACCAGGCATCTATTATCACAGGCTAATAACACAGGCTTTCAAGTTTCACTCTGATAATTATGCAAATAGCCCGACTCCAGGCACATTAATCTTTAATATTTTTTTCTGTTTATTTCTTCTTCACTGAGCTAACTTCCCTTCTTACTCTCCAGATCACTAAGAAAATGTCTATGAAAACCATACTGTTTTTATGGACACTCCTCTAAATTCCTAGAGCAGTGTGCTTGCATTAATCAAACATGCAGCCTCTTACAATATAAGCATTTCTGAGCATATCTCACTCTAAAACGCTTTTCGCTTCTCTGCCAATCAAAGGCAGAGTGTGAATGCATGGATGGATGACAATGTTTTGTTTTGTTTTTTTTTAAAGCAAATTTTATATAAGCAGCACCCTGCTGTAGGCCTGTATTTCCTTCTAAGTCGGTAATGAGATGGAAAAGGATTCCCTTCCCGTGACAAATCTGACTTCCTAGGAACGCCCCCCAGAGATATTCTGGTCATTTTGTCTCAGGGTTCTTGGTTTAAAAAAAAAAACAAAAAGGAGACTACAAAACTTCTTAGGCACTGATCCTCCTAGATCGCCATACTGTGTCTGTGCTAAGATTTTATTTCTGACTTTACACACACATGTGTGGGTATGTGCATGCCAATGAAGGTGTTTGAAGAGGTGAGCAGAGAGTGGCGGATCTCGTGGGGGCTGCCTGGTGAATGCTGGGAACTGAAGCTGGGTCCTCTGGAGGAGTCGTCAATGTTCACAACCACTGAGCCATCTCTCCAGCCCCGCTCCATACTATGTATAATCTTTTATTAAGTTAGGGCTCCATTCAGTTCATGCAAAACTATTTCCCCCATGTATTTTAACACACACCACCACCACTACCACCACCACCACCACTACCACCACCACCGCAAAGTCAGAAGCCAAGAACAAGGAGGTTGGGGGGGATGTGCAGCATTGCTGTGGAACAGAGCTATTGCTTCTTTTTAGAAGTGAACGGCTCTCCGGCTACACAGTCACAGTTGACCTAATAATCATGTTTATGTCAAAATTCTGTCTGACTTTAGCCACTGTGTGTGAAAAGGAAACCTGTGGAAATTCTTATGTCCATCATCTGAGTTGCTGTGTGTAATACATCTAAAATACACAGTGTTTATGAACTGTGTTATAGAAGTGAAATCCTAAACCACACATGAGGGCAGCATGCTGGAGGCCGAGACAAGAGGAAGACCGCAAGTTCAAGGTCAGTTTGTGTGTCATGGTGTGTGCCGGGTCATCCATGGCTACAGAGCAAGATCCTATCTGGGAAATAAATAGATAATAAAATCCTGTAAGTCTGGCACAAATCTTTGTCCATGGCAGTTCTGCAAAAATAAAAAAATCTACTGCGTCACTGACAATATTTGAGCACTTCTAACATAAAAGTGAGAAGGCAAACAAAACAAAATTCGTTCCTTAACTTCAAATAAACAGCTCTGAAACTAAAACTTTGGATTCAAACTTCATTATCTGATGGCAGAGGCTTCCTGGTGTTTATGCTGTCTCCCCGCAACAATCATGACACATTCATAGGACGTTGGTGTTTAACTTTAAGATTATATTATTTTAACCTCGCTAGAAAAAATAAAGTTATCCATACTTCAGTTTCTTTGTGCTGAACAGTCCGGTGATTTGGTTCCCAAAATATAGTAGAGGTAGTGGAAACGTCTGGAAAAGTGAAAAGGGTAACAAATCTCAATAATAAAGGCAGCGACAACAAAAATCCTTTCAAACAGACCGGTTCTGTTTAGACAGTTAAATTCTTTCCACTCGAAACATGGTTAGGTCTCATACACAGTGTTGACCCCCACAAAACACCCAAACAACATCAACTACCCTTTGATACACAACACTGCCCACAGAAGGGAGAGGGAGATGGCAGGAAGAAAGGACACAGAAACATGATCACCACGTGAGGCAGAAACATCACTTGCTCCAAAATATGACAGTGTATGCATCTAAGACTCCAGTGTTCAGGGAACGAGAGAAAGCATTTAGGTTTCACATGGAGTCTCGCAGAAGCATAAAGAGGGGTACAAAAACATCCCTCCTCCAAGGGGGAAAATAAAGTAATAATAAGAGCATCGTGGCTAAAGTGGATAGATCAAAACAGAAGGCTTTTTCATCTTCGTTCTCATGAGAGGGTAGCACTGGTCCAGCATGCACCGTTACCTATATTCTTTAGCTTTGCTAGATGCACTCGTGGACCAGGGCTGGGGCTAGACTGCGGTTTTTTAAATATGCAAGGCGCTGGTTTTTCTTTTCCCCCTTAAGCCACAGAATGGCTCCTTTTTATAAAATAAAGTATTCCTTCTTTCTCCCTTTTACCTTTCGAGGTACATTTCTGTCAAAGTCGGGAAACTTCACTACCCTGAGTGCCTTTCCCACCCAGAGAACGGCTACCGTGGCCACCATCTGCAAACAGAGAACACACACAGATGCACTGTTCTGCATATAAAGACGCACACAGAAGTTCTGACAACACAGACCACGGAATGCCCAAGATTCCAACTAACCTGGCCAAGTCCAACACATAGCGAGGACGGAAATCTACAAAAAGGGTACAGAAAAGGGGTTAAAAGCGGCCAGAAAGCCCCTCAAGGCACAGCGAATTCAACTTTCACACTGACAACCTTAAAACGTATTTTGATTCAACCCACACCAATGCCTGCCCTTCATCCAAATTAAAAAAAAAAAAGATTTTGTAGCCTAGGGCGGCCACTTGTCTCATCTTGTCCCGTTTTACAATTTCCCTTGGCTTCCTTGCAACGGATTCTTCCAGAAAGTTAACGCAAATAATCTAGGGGAACACACACACACACACACACACACACACACACACACACACACAAACTTCTGCCCCGGAGTCCCAGTGACAGTGGCGACGGCGGGCGCGTGGGTGTGCGGCCGCGCTGGTCCCCAGGCTGTCAGCCGCGCGGGTCGCCGGTCTCGGACACCGACCTCGCTGTGTCCCCC